TTTTCAATACGTTTGTATTAGAATATAAAAATAGCTTTAAACATATTAATATACATAATGAGGCCCTACACGCTACGATTTTTGTGAGATTTCAACTGTACAGTCCATCGATTCAGTCCACATCTCTCCTCTTTTGTCTAATGTGAAGATGAAGAGTAAAATAAGCTGATTAAATCTTGCCTTTAGATCAAAACATATATCGGAGCGTGTAGAGCCTCCATAACACAAAAATCAACAAAATAAAGATTTTTGAATGCATATTTGCGAGTCATTTTTTTGTATTTTTCTTCGCCAATTATTGAATAGGAGTATTATACTCATCCTTGTTCTGCCTCAGCTCTACCCATTTTTCCCTAAGCCTATTTTTTATAAGAAGAGTGCGCGATTTTTAAACAAATTTTACAATTTTAAAATACAAAATTTTGTTTTTATTTTTTGAGATTAAATAATCTGATCTTTTAGGGAGAAACACTTGAACATTTTGAATGGTTTTCAGGAGAAGAAAATGTTTCAGTAGTAATATTGCCATGCCTGTGCGTTTTTATCAATCATTTAGATTATTCTCATGAAACTAAGCTTGGGAAGAGTGATAGTTATCTGTATTCCTATTTGTATACCTACAGAAAGGGAAAACATCAGGAAAATGTTCATGCAATGGCTTGCATGCATGATTTACAAACTTTTCAAGCAATACCTCTTTTCTTTTGACTTCTGTGTTTTGTTACTTTTAATTTATTTAATTCTCTTGTCTAATTTATCGATTTATTCTTTTCACGATGTATTTTTCACTATAATACCTATTGTCTTCTTTATTATAATTTTTTTTTGGCATATTTTTAATGGTTATATTTATTTTTTCTTATCTTTGGTATTTTTGTATTAACACTTTTGGATTTTTGCTAATTCTAACCCTTTTCAATTTTTGTGATATTTTTTTTACTTCATTTACTATGGGTATTTACTATAAAAACAAAAGCCTTATTAATTTTTAATTATTTTTATGCCTTAATTTTTTCTTAGTTTATTTAAAATAAGTAGTTTTTTCCCTAACATTATAAAATGATAAATGATAAATTTTCAAATTTTACATTATTTTAATATTTCCTTATTTAAACTTTTTCACTTTACAAACATGTTCTAATTTTCACAGCTTTTTACTTGTCAAACCAAATTATAGTCAGAAAATTTAAAAAATACTTTTGAAAAAAAGAAGTTATGTCACTGTTATAAACTAAATTAGTGATTACATAAATTTGATTCCGCTGACAATTAAAGTAACAGTTAAGTCCAAGTTCAACGCGTTGTCAATGACAAGTGACGGCAACTTTTGTTTCACAAAAAATACAGCTTTAAACTATAATATTTTAAGTAATTGTGTTTAAAAATGGGTTCAGAGTACGGTAAAGAATGGAGGAGATTCTATAGTTTGTTTTAATTTTAATTTTAATGCATAATATTTTAATAAGTGATATTTAACAAACATTTAAAAGTTATAGACTTTCCACCATTTTTTATAGTATTTAAAAGCTAAAACGCAAAAAAACACTTTTATATTTGTCGTAATTATTTCAGGAAACTTGTGTTAAAATTTAAAAATGTACTGGTGCCAATTTGCAAACGTGCTAATTTGAGACATACGTTTTATTAAACTCGTCGCGTTGCGTATTTGTTGACATTAAGAGAAATAAATTTAAAGTGACGTCTTGTATTACTTCGAATAAAAAATCGTTTTCTAACCTAAGAAAAAAGTTGAGTTGGGTCTTAATTTGTTTATTATATTTATTTCTTGTAAAGTGAGTTTTGTTTACCTAAATATATACTTTTTAAGTTTTCATAAATATATTATTCCTAAAGTAACTACATAACATGCATCAAATATGCAGTGAGGACATAGATGTTGGAATATTCTAGCAAAATGCTTTCTCAGGTCAATTTTTATTTTGAGCTGCGCGTCTTGCGCTACAATTGGATGTGCTAATGACGTCACCATTTTCGTGTTGATGACGTCATAGATTTTTTAAATAGAACATATCTTTCTCTACATGTCTGAAATCCCCAAAAATAGACCATTACAAAAATGCATGTAATCATAGGTTTGTGAATTAGAAACAAATATTATATCAGATATTTTGAAACAAAAATTTTATTGAAACGACTGGACTAATAAACATGGTAGGTTTTCATAAATATATATATATATATATATATATATATATATATATATATTTGTATTGGTTTAGTATACAATAATAATAATGTCAAATAATAAACACTGCATTGTCAATTTATTAGTCTTTCAATAAAATTTTAGATTCAAAATTTTCTACAATTTACAAACCAATGGCTAAGTATTACATACATTTTTGTTCGTCTATTGTTGCGAAATTTAAAAATGAAGAGAAAAATATATTTTTCTATTTTAAACAATTGATGATGAAAATTGTGACGTCATTAGTACATCCAATTTTAGCGTAAGACGCGCAGTGTTAAAATACTGTTGGACCTTTACATTCTCACTGTATAATCGGTTTTTTAATAATATTAAAATAACATCTATTTTCTTTTGCATTTTTTGATAGTTAAAAAAAACAGAAAAACGTAATGACAGAATGGTTTGTTTCTATTTAAAGTTTGGTTAAAAGTTAACTGTCAGTGGAACCAAAATTACGTCACAATAATACGGCCTATTAGTACATTGAAATCGTACCAAAAAAAGTGTTGCCTTACATCAAATGAGGTGTTTTGATTTTTTTATGAGTTGGTAGTGATGAAATGGGTAATGACAAATTCAAGTTTTTTGCCTCGAAAGCCCTTCGGATCACAGTTAAATACTTGAAAATTCATCAAAATTTAGAAGTTTTTCCGTTTTTGTCAATTTTTACCACCAAGGACCTACGTTACGGAAAAAGTTACTATGGACACTTTTTAAGTAAATTTGTAATTAAATGAGAATAATTTGTTTTTGGTTAGCCAAATAGTTTTTAAAATACGGCTATTTAAAAGTTTGCAAAATTCCAACAAAAAAAAGTATTACAATTTTTTTAGTTGTCGACAATTTTTACCCCTAAGTAGTGGGTTTATTGAAAAAGTTATTTTTTAAATTATTAAAGTCCTCTAAATTCTCAACAAAATAAGACCAATTAGGTCAACTTGCACCTGATATTTCCTGAGATACAACTGTTCAAAGTTGTTGAGGTAAGTAAGGTAGGCCAGATAGTTTGCAAAATTTAATAAAAAAGGAGCAATTACAATTTTTTTAGTTGTCTGGTAGATTTTTACTGAAAGTGTGTTTTGTTTTTACTTTTATGTGTAACATAACATATATTAAATATTATAACAGAATTTGTTTTTATTTTTATTTGCAACTAATATCACGGAAGAAACAGTACAACAAAAAACATGCTAACACCAGTACCCCGTGGGTGCGGAAAGCACGGCGACGTATGAAGGGAATGCGACGAGGAAATACTACGGCTCAAATATAACTGTTGTTTTCGATGGCTATCCGTCTAAAGAATCAGAAAAAAATACTAAGAGCTTTGAACGTCTGCGTAGAGCTCTAGCAACGTCCTCTCCTGATGTTATATTCGATGAAACAACCATTGATTCAGTTGCTCAGGACAAGTTCCTATTGAATGACAGGAATAAAGTTAGACTCATCGACAAATCGACATGCTAAAGGTTCACCTGGAGAAGAACAAAATTCTAACATAAAAGGCAGAGGAAGATGCTGATTATTTAATAGTAACCACAGCCATTTTCATATCCTCTTCCTACGAAGTCGGCTAGGATATAGATTTGTTGGTCTTACTTTGTGGTTTGTCACGAGGTGGAGGAGACCACGTCCTTCCAACAAACAGACAAAATAATGATATATTTGTACAGGGTCGGACTGGCTAAATTTGGCCCCATCGGCACCACGAGTAATTGGCCCCCCATCTTACTTTCTTTGACCAACTCGATTATTCCCATAAAGGTAATTAATTACATTTAAGACAAAAATATTTAGAATTTATATATTAAAAAGTAGTGTTAAAATAGATAGTCCAAAATCATGAAATTTCAAGTACTTGGCGACCGTTTCAAATAATCTAAAATACTGTAAAATTATGCGTTTAAAGGTCTATGCCCACTACACCGGATCATACTATGACCGTGACCGTACCGGCATAGGCAGAAAAATATTCTTTGTATAGATTTAAATAAGACAATGCCCACTAGACCGGCCCGGCATCGACCACACCATCCTCATTTGAATCTATACAAAAAAAAATCAGGTCCGGGAACGGTCATAGTATGGTACGGTATAGTGGGCATAGACCTTAAAGGTGTGCTGTACATAAAATACTGTACATAAAATACAATGAGGCATTTTTTATAATAATGTTTTAATAAGTAAATAAATTATAATGCGCACTTCATTTTGCAAACCTTTCTAGTACATAATTGTTTACCTCAACAACAGGAACTATCAGGTGTAGGTTGACATAATTGGTCTCAGTTTGTTTAGTGGACCTTAATAACTTAAAAAATATCTTTTCCCATAAGCCTACTCCTTAGGGGTAAAAATTGTCGAAAACTAAAAAAAAGTAATACTTCCTTTTTTTTTAAATTTTGCAAACTTTTAAATAGCCGTATCTTTTAAACTATTTGGCCTACCAAAACCAAATTATTCGCATATCATTGAAAATGTAGTCTACTTCAAAAGTGTGCATAGCATGTTTTGCCGTAACACAGGCCCTTGGTGGTAAAAATTGACCAAAAGTAAGAAAGTCCTAAAATTTAAAGAATTTTTTAATATTTAAGAATGATCCGAAGGGCTTTCGAGGTGGATTTGTCATAACCATCTCATCACTACCAACATATCAAAAAATCAGAACTACCTTATTTGATGTAAGGCAAAAAGTACTAATTCCATGGACTATATTGGTAAATATAGCGTATTGGTAATTATCTATACAATATTGATATTAAAATATTTTGATTACTTAATCACTTACCCCCAATACAGTGAACGGCTACGCAAGATTCCGGGTTTATACAATACTGTCTCTTCAAAATTTCGAAAAATTCTTCTACTATCCTTTCTGACGGACAAGTTCCATCGGGAATGGTGAGATTACAAACTTGAATTCCTGCACCTTTGAGAGCTTCTGTATCATATGTTGGTTCACATACCCTTACAACTACTTTAACATTGTTACTTTTCAGTTCTTTGATAAATCCTTCTAAATTGTTATTTGATGGGTTTTTCGTGATGAGAAACTTGAAGCCCTTGTGACATATTAGAGCGAATTCCGCCATGGCGGACATTCTATAAATATAAAGAATACAAAAAAAAAATGTTTTGCTTTTTAAAATTCGGCAGACTTCACTTGCTAATTTAAAGATATAGAGGGTAGAGACAGGGGAACAGTCGGGAACAGTCGAATGAATTCGGCAAATTCTCAGCCACATTTCTCTCTCTTTCTCTGTCATAAACGGGAAAACTGCAAAAGTACCTTTCGTAGTAAGCAAAGTATACGTATCAAGCTATCGGAATATCTTTAAATTTTTTCAAATTTTTAGAGCGCCATAATTGTAGGTTCATTTTAGGCCTATTTTATATGAATTTAAAAAAAATTGGCACAACATTATTCAATTTCTGTTTATTCAATAAGATTGTGTGTCCCTACATAAGGTTCTTTTGGAGTCAGGATGGGAAACTTAACGTATTGTATATTATGAATGCAAATGAATTTTCAACAATATAAATCCTTTCTTGTTAAGTTTCAAACAATAAGGATTTAGTTTTTCGAAAGGGCTACCATTGGTATCAATGAGATTAGTTTCAGTTTATTTCAAGTTGTATCTTATTCTCTCTTCACTTTTAAATAAAGGTGTTCTGGTAGATTGATACGTATTGGATCTTTCGATTTATGAAAATGAAAATCGTATAAATTAACCAATTATTATAGTTTATTATTTGGAATTATTATATTAAATCCGAAGCTTCCGAGTTTCAAAGGGCTTATAGTTTTCAACTGATGAGTTATTTATTGTATAAAGTAAGTTTTTAGGACTCACTCTGAATATCTGTCATAAAGAAATCGCAAAACATATCAATTTTTAGTGAGAGGAACCATCATTCGATCATATCAACTGTCATACTACATTTTCCTCGCCTCGATCATTTTAACCAATTCAATTTAAATAGAAAAAGTATCAAGTATGATCCATCATCACAAACCCTGTCTTTTCTAGCTTTTTTAGAGGACAAAAACCACAACTGAAACACAAAACATCCTTAAATATGCTTCCTTTTCCGATCCCAAGACATAAAAATACCCTTAATAATACCGTTTCGGTAAATAGTGAGGACTGATATATCTAAATATTTTTATAAAAAAATAGTTTTATAGACATATGTTCCATTGAGCCCGCACGAAAAGTCTTCGGACTCTAGTGCCGATTTATTTAATTTATTTTTGACCCGTACATATTTTTAAACATGTAAATGAAATTTTCTAACCTAACTATCATCACAAAGGTAATTTTATAGGGAATTGTTACGTATTGTAGTGATACTTCTTTTGAAAGCCAATTTTATTCGTAAGTTATTGTATCATTCAATTATGTTTTATTATGTTGTGCAATAAATTGGCTTTCAAATGAAGCGTTTGCAATATAATTCTCATATCTAATGAGAGAAGCAAAATACAGGATAAGTTGAAAAAATTGAGGAATATTCTTAAAAATGGAAGAGGCCGTTTTTAACATAATTTCCCATGGTCTGTTTTGTGCCACCAATAGACAACAGTGCGCAAAATGTATAGATTTATTCGAGATGTTGTATTTTTATTTATTATTATTTATTTTTATTTATTTTTATAATTTATTTTTATTTATTTTTATTTATTTTTATTTATTTTTATTTATTTTTATTTATTTTTATTTATTTTTATTTATTTTTATTTATTTTTATTTATTTTTATTTATTTTTATTTATTTTTATTTATTTTTATTTATTTTTATTTATTTTTATTTATTTTTATTTATTTTTATTTATTTTTATTTATTTTTATTTATTTTTATTTATTTTTATTTATTTTTATTTATTTTTATTTATTTTTATTTATTTTTATTTATTTTTATTTATTTTTATTTATTTTTATTTATTTTTATTTATTTTTGTTTATTTTTGTTTATTTTTATTTATTTTTATTTATTTTTATTTATTTTTATTTATTTTTATTTATTTTTATTTATTTTTATTTATTTTTATTTATTTTTATTTATTTTTATTTATTTTTATTTATTTTTATTTATTTTTATTTATTTTTATTTATTTTTATTTATTTTTATTTATTTTTATTTATTTTTATTTATTTTTATTTATTTTTATTTATTTTTATTTATTTTTATTTATTTTTATTTATTTTTATTTATTTTTATTTATTTTTATTTATTTTTATTTATTTTTATTTATTTTTATTTATTTTTATTTATTTTTATTTATTTTTATTTATTTTTATTTATTTTTATTTATTTTTATTTATTTTTATTTATTTTTATTTATTTTTATTTATTTTTATTTATTTTTATTTATTTTTATTTATTTTTATTTATTTTTATTTATTTTTATTTATTTTTATTTATTTTTATTTATTTTTATTTATTTTTATTTATTTTTATTTATTTTTATTTATTTTTATTTATTTTTATTTATTTTTATTTATTTTTATTTATTTTTATTTATTTTTATTTATTTTTATTTATTTTTATTTATTTTTATTTATTTTTATTTATTTTTATTTATTTTTATTTATTTTTATTTATTTTTATTTATTTTTATTTATTTTTATTTATTTTTATTTATTTTTATTTATTTTTATTTATTTTTATTTATTTTTATTTATTTTTATTTATTTTTATTTATTTTTATTTATTTTTATTTATTTTTATTTATTTTTATTTATTTTTATTTATTTTTATTTATTTTTATTTATTTTTATTTATTTTTATTTATTTTTATTTATTTTTATTTATTTTTATTTATTTTTATTTATTTTTATTTATTTTTATTTATTTTTATTTATTTTTATTTATTTTTATTTATTTTTATTTATTTTTATTTATTTTTATTTATTTTTATTTATTTTTATTTATTTTTATTTATTTTTATTTATTTTTATTTATTTTTATTTATTTTTATTTATTTTTATTTATTTTTATTTATTTTTATTTATTTTTATTTATTTTTATTTATTTTTATTTATTTTTATTTATTTTTATTTATTTTTATTTATTTTTATTTATTTTTATTTATTTTTATTTATTTTTATTTATTTTTATTTATTTTTATTTATTTTTATTAATTTTTATTTATTTTTATTTATTATTATTTATTTATAATTATTCATTTTTATTTATTTTTATTTTACCACTCCCCCCTCCTTTCAAATGTGAAAAACACGTCATTATAAATTTTTAAGTTTCTACCTTTAAAAAAATCGATACTCCCATACAAACCTTCACTCTCTATTTCCCCCCTAATAATGTAAAAATCCAAAAATTCTGAATTACTATATTATTTATTTATAATGAGCAGCTACAATTCCCATTTTCAAGTTCCTATCTTCAAGAATTTCGATAACTCCCTACAAACTTTTAGTCCTCTTCCCCCCAATCCCCCTCTCCTCTCTCATTTTTTCCTCCCCTATTTTTCATCCTTATTTTCACCACCTCATTTCTCTCTACCCCTTTCCTATTTCCCCCTTAAAATGTGAAAATCAGAAAACCCTGAAATGCGTCGTTATTTATTTATGATGAGTAGCTACAGTTCCAATTTTCAAGTTCCAGTTCCAATTTTCAAGTTCCTACCTTTAAAAGAATCGGTGCTCCCATGCAAACCTTCACCCCTCCCCCCATTTCCCCCTTAAAAATGTACAAATCCAAAAATCCTGAAATACTTTATTATTTATTTATGATGAGTAGCTCCAATTTAAATTTTCAAGTTCCTACCTTCAAAAAATTCGATACTCCATACAAACTTTCACTCCCGTTTCACACCCTTATAATGTGGTTTGTATAAAATCCGTTCTTAGTGGGGGTCTACGCTGAGAAAGAATTAACTATGCCAAATTTCAAGTCATTCGGCTTATAGTTTTGAAGATATCGTGATGAGTCAGTGAGTGGTATTTCGCTTTTATATAGATAAAATAAATAGTTCAACAAAAATTGATTACAATATGAAACAATAAACCAAATTTTAAAATAAAAGAAACTTCCCCTTTGTTAGAAAATTAATTAATACCTACATTAGAAATATCAATTCATTTATTACGACCGAAATAAATTTGTTAGGCTAGAGGTGACGGAGGAGCTACAACCAAAAATATAAAAAAAATATATTTGGCATAGTTTTGAGAGTGCAAACGTTTTAAATGCTTACATAAATTGATTCAAATTTACTTACGCAAATCCATCAAATGATTCCAATCACTTTAAGATACTATTGAACAATATATACAAAAATTAATTCACTAAATACCAACAGACACCAATCCGTCACTAGCAATTTTCACCTATTCCAATGGTTTGATATTTATTCATATTATGGACTACAAACGTTTCATTCAATGATACAGAATGTTTCAATTTTTTGTGAGGCATTTTTGTTATAATATTAGCTCAGAGAATTTGGCACCGTGACAAAAGACAGACTTTGTAAATAACAGTAAACATGCCTACATTTTCTATAGAACGTCAAAAAAATTAAATAAAAATAGTTTATTTTTAAATTAAATACGTTAATTTGTTTATAAAGGTACTTACTTCGCAAATAGCTGGTTTTAGTAAATTTTAAACTGGTCGATTTTATAAATAGTACAATTTTCTCAAGTGAAAATTTTTGGCACCAAACTTAACAGTCACAGTAAAATCTCGTGCTAAAACGTTGACAAGTTATTGAAATATATTAATTTATTATCGTTATTTTAGAAAAACATAAACATTACTCACCCAACAAGTGAGTCTGGTTTATTTTGATGTATTAATTTTATATAAATAAGTCTTGTATTGTTTACAAGAATAATATATCGTGTATTGGGTACGACTGTAGAGAATGAAGATACCAGTAGCGTGCCTTTTTGGAAATAAAAATTGAAGACATGATACAGGTCAGACGCGGTGATACCAGCCAGCAAGTGCACGCGATTTATCGCATAAAAGCGTAGATTATATTCGACTTTACGGACACACGAATTAGAAAATATTTTTTGAATTATTAGAAGATAAGTTACATAACATCATGAAAATTAAAAGAAAAAGTGGATTATTCACGTTTTAGTAAGAAATTTGATGTTAAAATCTGAAAAATTTCACATTTTAAACTAATATATTGACGTATTTGTACAAGGTTGCCAAGTATTTTGATATGTAAGAAGATATAAGTAATTTATAAATTTGTTTTCGCTTATCCTCCGGTATAATTCTCACTATGTGTTATCGCAAATTTATATTAAATTAGTATACATTTGTTATTTATTTAAATAAGAATAATAGTTATTTTCTGATATTATATATTTAAAAAAAATCAGAGGATTCTTTACTTTCTTCGATAAGAGTAATAAAGTAAATATTAAATAGATTTGTTCCAAAAGAAATAATATTTAGCACAATATCAGTCTTTATCTAATAATGCTACACTTCACAGATAAATGCTGGGAATCCCTGACACATCAGTATACCGGTTCTTATCTGGCAAAAAAGAAAAGGAAAGCTACCAGTGGTGTAGGTATCCCTTAACTCCTCCCCGCTAAAGTGGAAGGCCAGGTGTGTCAGAGATTCTGGTTCTGGTACTGGATCTCCTTGGTTTCGTATAAAAATATGGGTAACAGGTTATACAGGTGTAATCTATTATTTGGAGACAATACAATACAATACAAAAATTTGCCAGTAGTCAACAACAACAACTGCTCCAACATGGAAACCTTGAGATTATCCAGCTCCTCAACAATGCCAATCTAATAAGAAGACTCAAGAGAACCAGGCCTTTTGAGTTAGTTTAGTATTTTAGATTAAAACAGAGTATAGTGCAGTTAAGTGTTTACGTTAACGGTAGTGTAACTAAATAATTAGACTCTAAAGTACACTATACAGGGTTGGCCAAACCTCTGTCGTAGTTCTATAACTCCTATTATGCAAATCAACGATTTATTCGAAGTATACCTGTCAATGGTGGTCAAAACCAAATATCCCAAAATTATTTTCTTGTGTACAGGGTGGCCCAATAGTAAATTAGGTAAATCACTTATTTTTTTTTTAATGGAATGACCCAACTTTTTTTCCAATTTTATGGTCACTAGGGCATACCCACAAAATATTGTTTCTAACATCCTACCCCTTTCGCAGAAAAAGAAGAAATACCAAAAAATATTACATTTTCAGATGCCTATTAAAATATGCAGTGCTCTCTCGAATTTGACGTTAGAATTTAAAAAACTACAAATGTATAAAGCCAATAGACCAAAGATTTTTTTAGACCAAGTTTTTATTTTGTACATGGTGGTCACAAATTAATTTCAATTTCCAAAAATTTCTAGGACATTTTTTCAAATTTTTCAAATAGAACACCCTGTATTACTATTCATCGATGAAACGAGAATTTTATACCCTTCGACTTCGCCATGTACTTTCCTATACCTATCTGTCGTCGTTTAAAAGTAAATTCCAAAAAGACATTGATTTATCAAAAATCCAATTTCTACCAGTGGTTTTATTGAAAGTGAACATTCAATCAAGTAGACTGGGTCTTAATGAAGTGTCAGATTATTTATTAATGAAGTGTCAAGTTATTTTTACTGATCGCGATAATTCTTCTATTAATAATGAATTTTACGAAAAACGAATTAATTGACATGGTCTATGTTTTGGGAGAATCCGACAGAAATTGTTTATTGGCAAAAAGAATTTATCATCAACGATATCCCGATAGACGCATCCCTGATCAAAAAAGTTTTGAAAAGTTACATGAAAGATTTACCGAAACAGGAAATGTTGCTTATAAAAAACCAATAATTGACAAACGTGCTACTGATAATGATAACCAATTATCTGTAATTTTGACAGCGATAGAAGATCCTCATGTAAGTCAAAATAATATTGCCGAAGTAGTAGGTATAAGTAGAACATCCGTTAGAAGGATTTTAAAACAGAATCAATATCATGCTTATAAAATACAATTGCATCAAGAGCTGAAAGACCGATTTTGATAATAGAATGGTGTTTTGTAACTGGGCACAAACTAAACTGCAACAAAATCCATTTTTTTTTGACAGAGTGCTGTTTTCTGATGAATCTACATTCCACAAGAACGGATTCGTTAATATACATAATTTCTACTAATATTCCACGGAAAATCCTAACATCATCAGAACACATAGCCAAGAAAGATGGAGTGTAAATGTTTAGGGAGGTATAATTGGGGATCATGTTATTGGGACGTATTTTTTTGAAGGCAACTTAAATGGTCTGATGTATTTAGATTTTTTAGCAAATCATCTTCCTACTTTACTTGAAAACATTTCCCTTGCTGTAAGACTAACAATGTGGTACCAACATGATGGGGCAGCAGCGCATTTTTTACGCGAAGTGGCAGATGAATTAGATGAAAAGTTTCCAAATAGATGGATTGGTAGAAATGGTCCAAAAAAATGGCCAGCTCGATCATCTGACTTAACAAAACCCGATTATTTTTTGTAGGGTTATATTAAAAATCTAGTCTATCTTACGCCACCTACAACACCTGAAAATATGAAAGAAAGGATAGTGCAAGCTTTCCATTCTATTACACCTGATATGCTTAGAAACGTTTCTCGATCATTCGCCCAACAAATAAATGTATGCATTAGAGAAAATGGCAGATATTTTGAGCATCTTTTATAAAATGTAAATTTATGTTTTAGGATAAATTTCAAATAAATTTTATTATCGTAATTTTCTTCCTTTTGAATTTATTTTATAACGGCGACAGATAGGTATAGGAAAGTACATAAGGAAGTGGAAGGGTATAAAATTCTTCTTCAGTTGATGAATAGAAATACAGGGTAATACATTTGAAAAATTTAAAAAAATTTCCCTCGAAATTTTTGGAAAGTGAAATTAATTTGTGACCACCCTGTACAAAATAAAAAATTCAAACTTGGTCCAAAAAAATCTTTGGTCTATTGGCTTTATACAATCGTAGGTTTTTAAATTCTAACATCAAATTCGAGAGAGCACTGCATATTTTAATAGGCGTCTGAAAATGTAATATTTTTTGGTAATTTTTTTTTCTGCGAAAGGGGTGGGATGTAAGAAACAATATTTTGTGGGTATGTACTAGTGACCATAAGGTACCTTAAATTGTAAAAAAAGTTGTGTTGTTCCATTTAAAAAAAATTAAGTGATTTGCCTAATTTACTATTGGGCCACCCTGTACACAAGAAAATAATTTTGGGATATTTGGTATTGGCCACCATTGACAGGTATACATAAAATAAATCGTTAAGATTTGCATAGTAGGAGTTATAGAACTACGACAGAGGTTTGGCCAACCCTGTATAGTGAGTAGAATCTTGGTTTATGAAGTTTTTCATCCCTAGATAAGTTAGGTAAAAATAAAATTGCTGATTGATCTTAAAGATTAGATTATAATAATCTTAAATGTTTCTTTACTTGGAGCATTTAATAAAAAAACCTAGTTCTTTCAAATTAGTGTATTTAAAGGAATTGATAAAAATGAAGCAGTTTACTTCGATATTTTATTAAATATTCTTTAAAACAAATTTATTTATTTGTTTGTTTGTTTAAGAATCAATATTTGAGTTTTCGGTATTTTAAATAAACATATTTTGTAATATCGTTTTTTAGTCTAATGTATTAGAAAAAAAACTAGAATACATTTCTGAAATATTACTAGAGTAAAGTCGGCATATATGGAATACCAATTATTTTGATAGTGATAACATCAAAACATAAGTGTTTAGAGCTGCAATATTTCATTAATAAATAGTTCTAAGTATCTCAAAGGAGTGACAGGTGCTAAATTAAAAAGTAAATCATATTCGGTAATTTTACAAAAATAATTAAAAGAAATGCATTTTTGTTCGAAAATAAAAAAATGGAGGGTAATATGGAATGGTCATATCGGGTAATATAGAATAGACTTATTATGCGTAAAAAACTTTACTAAAATCATTTAACTTCAGAACATCAATATATAAGTACATCTATGAATTGCAAAAATCGCAAATAAAAACATCATTTTCTGCACTGGTACAAGATTGGTGAGCCCATTCATTGCAGATTACGCATTGTAGCCATATTTCTCTACTTTGGCTCGAGGAAAACTTTTCTTGGCAAAAAATACACGGGATATCTTCATCGGTTGGCTTTTTATTGCAGCAGATGAATCATCAACTACTGGTTCAGATTGTGAATTAGATGAACTAGAGGGGACATATTTTTTCGTAACTTTACGCTTCTTAGTTTGTAATCCCCTAGGTCCAGGTTCATCGAAAACGTTTCGGGTTACTTTTTGTCTTGAGAGATTAATTGATTGCTCCAATTCTTCCTTATTCGGCGTCGACGTAATTATTTTGAAACGTCCACATTTCCTTCCCCGAGTTGCCGACCTCTTTGTTAGTTCTGACACTGGAACTATGTCACTAGGATAAACATTAGGCGAGTTATTTTGCTCTTTATCAGGACGTGTATTATCGATCTGCAAATTTTGATTTTCTTTTTGCATTTCGGCTGAAATTCTGCGTCTGTGAAAATATTTCTTCTTAAGGGATAGATCCCAGTGGCACTAAACCCTTTAACAGCTCTTCCTCCAGATTGCACTTTAAGATAGGCGCTACCAAATAACTGGCAAATATCAAAATGTGTTAGTGCACGTTTTTCCGTTCTCATGAAGATTCTCACTTCTTCGTTATAGAAGCTCTTTAATGCACCCATGACGGTCTTGTCGAGGGGCTGAAGTTTATGCGTCGTATGTAATGGTAAGCATAAAATAGTAACATGATTGTCTTTGGCTTTAACAAGTTCATCTAGATTTCTAGTGTGAGTGTGATGGCCGTCCAATATTAGCAGTATTGGTTTTGTTGCTGAAGGTTTGGCTTTTTCTAGGAAGTGGTCAAACCATTTTGTAAATAAATCTGTTTGAATCCACCCGGGTGGGTGAAAAGCAAACAGCGATCCTGGAGGTGACCCCCTTTTTTAGCTGGTCACTTGCTTTTTTGCGCGAAAAGATGATCATGGGTGGCACAAAATCACCTGCCGCACTCACACACATTACGATGGTTATAAGAGAGACTCTCTCTGCTGATGTAATAGCACCAACTTGTCGTTTGCCTCTAAGCGATACCACTTCTGGGCATCTTGATTGCATAATAAATATCCCCGACTCATCTACGTTATATATTTGGTGAGGTCCATAATTTCGCTCTGCCATAGTCTTCTCGAATAAGTCGAAAAACTCAGTGACATTTTCCCTATTAAAACCAACGGAAGGGAAGTTCCAGTGGGTTTTCGTAAAATTAGTGTAGCCTTATGCCTGTTCATAAATGACGAAAACCAATCTTTTCCCGCAGATTTGAGTAAAAGGGAGATTGGATGTGGTATATTGTTACGCTTAGCAAGTTAAAATGCTAAAGATCGGACATCCCTTCTTGTCAGACCAAAAAACTTTTGATCCATTATAAGTAAATATCGAACTAGTTCCTCTTCTAACTCCGCTGACAAAAATGGTTTTTTGCCCAACTTCGTTTTACTAACAGTTGCTGTGCTACAGAGGCGAAAAAGTGTTGAGCGTGGAACTTTAAATTTTTTCGCTGCGGCCAAATGGCCCATATTTTTGTTTCTTACTGATTCAATGGCGTTTTCGATATCTTTCTCACTCCATTATTTTATACTTACGGGTAATATGGGATAATATTCCATATTACACGCTACACAAAATGTAAACAAAACAAGTACTCTATTTGTTATTACGAAAAATATCCAAGCAAATCGTTAATATTTCTACCATCTTATGCCTAAACAAACTTACCATGCGTTTAAACAACTTTATTTAAGCAAAATGTAGTCACAAAACGATTTTAACTGATACCGTGCACAAACTTTAAATACGTGAAAATTATAACCTCACATTTTTCGGCGTTGGT